TGGTGAGCGCACAGTCCAATATAAAGATGATGTGTTACAGAATTGTACCTGAAACCCAAATAATTTTATTAACCAGTGCCACACCCATAAATTCAATGAAAAAGCTATAAATGATAATAATTTATGAAAGTAGTAAGACACATCCCACCACTCAGAATTTTGGGTTAACCACAGTTAAGCTACTGATTGAATTTACTTAGAATTAGATGTGGAAATATATGAAAGCCGTAGTTATAAGTCAACAAAGGAGGTTATGAGGCTCCATTTAAAACAGTATTTTCTCCTGGCTGGTGTAGCTCAGTGAATTGAGCACGGGCCTGCGAATGAAAGGATCATGGTTCAATTCCTAGTCATAGCACGTGCCTGGGTTACAGGCCAGTTCCCAGCAGGGGACACATGAGAGGCAACCATACATTGATGTTTCTCTCCCTCTCTCCTTCCCCTCCCCTCTAAAGATAAATAAATAAAATAAAATAAATTAAAACAGTATTTTTTGCTTACCAGCTAACCACATTATCTTTAATTTTGTGGTAAGGAGGTTCAAGGCCCAGGACCAGATGACTTGGGGTCGGTCTTTAAATCCACCCTGACCGATTCAGGGGTGCCCCCAGTATCCCATTCCCGTGGGCATGGACTGTTAATGTGAGGCAGTGCCTGCAAAGGAGGCACAGAAACATAATACATTTAAGGGGGAAAGGAAACCCCCGGCTGGGTTACTTGGTTGGCGTGTCATCCCACACACCAGAAGGTTGCGGGATTGATCCCCGGTTGGAACATGAGCAGATGGAAGGCAGTCGATCACTGTTGCTCTCTCACATCGATGTTTTCTCTCTCTCCCTCCCCTTCCTCCCTCTCTCAAAGCAGTAAACATATTGTCCGGTGAGGATATAAAGAATAAAATAAATTTTAAAGGGGGAAAAAGGAAACGAATCAATGACACAGTGTTCTTTGGCTGTTTCCAGGCCGCCCCTGGGTGTGAGATTCGAAACTCAGTTGTCCGCACCGCCAAGCCGCAGACCCCCCCGGGGTGGTACCTGCGGGCCTCGCCCCGGGGGCTTCTGTCTGGGGACCGGCACATGTTGCCGCACATTTTTTCCAAGATAAACTTCAATGATAAATTTGTATGTGAAAGAACCTGACTTTTTAAGTAATGGTAACAGATTCACATTTTAAAACTAAAAACAAGTCGTATGGACCACAGAGACTGCATCGAGGCACTAGCTGGAGTCTCCGCCCGAAGGGTTGGCGTTCCTGGGCGCCCCGCCCCTGGGCTACCTTTCCCTTCGACAGCCTCTTCCTAGAGAACCTCAGCTGCTCCCACGGTTTGAAGCCTCCCGACTTCACCGAGAGTCACGGCCTCTCCTCCACACTCCAGACACTGTATCTAACTGCCAACGCCACATGGACATTGGATGTTCGGGCACCTCCAACACACACAAAACTCTTTTATTGTGTTATTGTATTTTTTCCCATTACAATTTGTGCCCCTTACACCCCTTCTCCCCACCCCCCAGCAGTCACCACACTGTCGCCCGCGCCCGTGAGTCCTTTTCCCTTTTTGGCTAACCACCCACTACCGCTTCACCACCCCTGCACCCTGAGGCGGTCAGCCTGCCATCTCTGCGTCTGTCGCTATTTTGCTTGTTAGTTCAGTCTGGTCGTTAGATTCCACATGCGTGAAATCGTATGGTATTTATCTTTCTCTGAGTGGCTGGTTTCACCTAGTATAATGCTCTCCAGATGCACCCATGGTGTCGCAAAGGGTAAAACTTTCTTCTTTTATGGCCGAGTAGTACTCCACTGTGTATAGGTACCATGTTTCAGAGCTCAACTCTGGACCAATCCCCGCCCATCTGGCCGCCAGTTTCTCCAGCTCAGTGAGAGGCGCCTGTACTGCCCAAGGGATGGGGCAGCCACTCTGCTTCCTCACCTCCTGTCACCTTTGTCCAGTCCGTCACTTTCTGCATTTCCTTCTTCTAAAACCGTCCTTCCACCTGTCCCCTCAGCTCCTTTCCGGTTGCCACAGCAGGCCACCTCGTGTGTCATCTGTTTTCCACGACAGCTTCCTCCAGACTGCCTTCGCTCTTTGCCCCGCCAGTCTGTCCTTCACTTAACAACCAGAGGGACCTCCTCAAATATTAAGTGGGTCACATCACTCCCTGCTTAAATTCTCTCAGTGTCCTTCCAATGTACGAAGCCCAAGAGAAGGAAGGCATTATCCTGCTGTGTCAATTGGATTAAGAGGGTCTTTCTTTCTTTTTGTCTTTAAAGCTGTACAAATAATACTCACATCAAAGGGCTGTTGTGAGAATTCAATAAAGGCCACTGTATTTTTGCATTTGTTCTATATTAGCCTTTGCAGGGAAGAAGGTAAAATTTATATTAATAGCTACTTTAAAAACTCACCCACAGAATTCTAAATGTCTTAGTGACACATTTTTCTTCACATAATCATCACCTGAAGGTATAACATCTGCCTTGATTAAAGGATAAAGTCCTACTTTTTAAATTTATGGAACAGTCCAAGTTCAACGAAAAACATGGGGCACAATGAGGAGCAATTCCAAGTGTCTTCCGATCATATTTTTTAAGTTTTGAAATGGAAAATGATTAGATAATGTGGTTGATGCAAACGTCACATCATAAAAGCCAGACTTTCCCACCCCACCTGCCCTGCAAATCTCTGTTTACTGATTCCAGTTCATCTTCTCCTTGAGCTGTGCCGGACGGTCGGACAAGCAGCCCATGTTTAGCCGTGCCCGCGGCCCTTTGTGCCTCTAATTCGCACACTCCAGTGTAAAAACCACCATGGTGGGAGTGCACCCATTAAATCTGCTGCAGCTGGTGGCTGAAGAGCCGGGAGCAAAGGAGAAGCTGCCTGCGTAGGGGTGGAGAGCTACCTCCACGGAACTCAAAGTCCGTGCTTTCTCTGTGCCGCCCGTTTTTAAAACTAGATCTCTGTGAAAGTCACAATGTTGCTGTGACGAGCTCTTCTCTGTACCTCACCACCAGGTAGCAGATTGTATCCGTGATTATCACAGCAACAGTGTAGTAACCATCAGCCGTCTTCAGGACTTAGACATTATGTTTGGTCTTTTCATTGCGTGTTTCTCTTGCAGGACAATGGAACATACGAGATCTCTAGGTTTTTATGGGCTGAGCCGTCCCCCCTGTTCGTACTCCCTAGTTGGACCATGCATTCCAGCCATGGTTCAGTGTGACGTGGTGTCCATCCAAGGGCCCCCTGCCTCCTCTAGACTTCTCTATGTGCTACTGATAGGCTTTACAGATTCTTCCTTCTCATTCCTCTGGCTAAAATAAGAGTAGTGCTGTAGGAATCCATTTAGACATCTTGCCCTGTGGGAGACCTTTGACTCAGAGAATGGTTATGGAGCCGTCCTACCTGCTCTTACAGCACCAGGTACCTCTTCAGCTGAACTTATCCCATTGTCTTGTAATTGTCAGCCTGCCTGCTGGACGGGATTCACCCCACTCTCACTGCACCCCTGGCATCTGGTGCGCCCTTAACTCAGAGTGGGGACTCCTTGTGCCTGGAGTGGGTGAATGGTGTGTGTGCGTTGCAGAGCATTCAGGAGTACGACTGGAAACAAGTTTTAAAGAAGATGAATAAAGGTCATGAAACTTGAGAAGACACTTATTAGCATTTTTTGGTTACTTTGCTTCCAGTTAACTTTTCTCTGTCAACCTCACAGCATAAAAATACTTTGAATACTTCTGTCTTCACAGTATACTGCGAGTATTTCCTTATGCAACCACATATTCTCTGGAAATGTCACTTGAGTGGTTGTCACAAGAAGATATCCTTTAAAAGTAACATGGTTTATTCAGATATTCTTTATTGTTGGACTTCGTTACATGGAATGTTTTACCGCTATATATAATGATTAAATGAATGTTTTTGCATCTCTGATCATTTCTTTATGATACATTATGGAAATGAAGTTACTGGGTGAACATTTCACAGTGCTACATGTACTCTGTAAAAGTACCCTTAACAATAAGGCTGTCTTTTTTTTTAAGAGCAAAGATTTCATGAACAAAAGGAGTAGCTCATTTTGACCTTATATTTCTTGGTCATTTTTGTGATCCTTCTCTGTGAATTGTTCAGTAGTAATCTGCCCATTTTTCTGTTAGTCTGTTAGTTTTCTTATTGACTTAAAAGCTATGTGTTAAAACTACAATGAAATTTTTATAAATAATCCCTGTGTGATACAGATCCTTGATGTTATTTTTTGTGCTTTTAATTTTTTTTTATTTTATTCATATGTATCGGTCTTCTGTGAATTGCTCAATTGCTTTTTCATGTAGAATTTCTTTATATATCCTTAGGCATATTTTCTTCTAGCTTTATTAGTTTATTTTGTTTACACTGAAGTTTTTGATCCATTTAGAATGTATTTAGGGATACAGTGTGAGAAGAGGCTCTAATTCTTTTTTTTTTTTTTTACAAAATAGTCATTTTTTCTAATATCTTCTCTTAACCTTCAAAGAAATGCTATTCAAGGCGGTCGTGTTGAAATAATCAGCGCCCGAGGCACAGGTCAGAGTTCAGCAGGAACTCGTGTCTTCCTTCCAGTGGGCGCACAAGTCTCCAGTTTCCAGTTGCACGTGCACAGAAACCGCACGGCCACGCAGTCCTGGCACAGCAACCGCTGTCCCAGTCAACATCACACCAGACGTCACGCTTGGGGGGGACGCCACCAAGACCCCCACGACTGTAGTTTTGCCCTTTTCACATATTTATTACAAAATGGGGGCAGGGAGGGGTGGTGGCTGGGGCAGCTTTGGCGCAGAGTGTATGGAGAAGAGAGGGGCTGGTTCCCCGGAACGTCTGCCTTACCCAGGCAGACGGGGTCACCCCGGGCGGGGCACTGCCGCGCGCGCGCACGGAGCCCTGGGCTCGGCTCCCCACCCCCCTCACGAGACAGTCGGAGGCTGGGCAGTGTCCCTGGGCCCTGAGCTCTGCTCTCTCCTCGCAGGCGAACAGGAGCCCGCCGTGAGCAGCGACTCGGACATCTCGCTCATCATGGCCATGGAGGTGGGACTGTCTGACGTGGAGCTCTCCACCGACCAAGACTGCGAGGAGGTGAAGTCGTGAAGGGGCGAATATGGGAGAAAGGGACGGTAGGACCCAAGGGGACAGAGGAGAGGGGAGCCCCGCGACCTGGACCGGGCACACAGGCCTCCGGAACACCTCGGCCCCTGCAGGGCGCCCCGCTCAGGAATGGTCGCGAAAAGCAATACCCGCGTCCGGCTGGTGGCGCAGCCGCTCCGCCTCCACCGCAGCCGCAGCCGCGGCCTGGGCAGGTTGGAGGCCGAAAGCTGAGTTCCCCTCCCACGTCCTTGCAGACACGCTGTTCAGAAGCTCCTACCACAGACGGAGAGGACGCGTTTAGGGCTTCTCGGTTTTCATTTCAATTTTTTCCTGGTCTTGTTTTTTTTGTTTTGAAATTGTTTGATTTCTCTGGTGGTTTCTTTTTAAAGACCATGTATAGTTTCCTTTAGGTTCACGCCTCTGCGTTTCCTTTGATTCGCCCCAGCATTTACGGAGGGTGGTGTTTAGAAGTCCCGCTGTGACTGGTCTGTGCATTCCGTCTCTGAGATGAAGGACTCAGCCTGAAGCATGCCTGGCTTGCGGAGGTGCCTCTGCATGCTGACCCAGTCGAAGGCCAGCTTTCACTAGGAATCTGAATTCTTTCCAGTGGGTCTTGAACTTCCCAGCAGCCGGAGACCCCGACACTAAGCTGTGAATCTGCTGAGGCCACTGCTCATTGGTGTCAGCAGCATCACGCTGGTGGCCTCTTGCCCAGCGCTGTGGAGGCCCATGTGACATGAGAAGGAATCTCTAGGGAGGCACTTTCATTTGTCTGGGTCTCACCTTCTTTGGCTGAAATTCTGAACTCAGAGGTCCCCTCCAGGGCATTAAGGCCATTCTCCATGGCTGTAGGGCTTGTAGCTGGAATTACAAGCTCAGTTTCAAAACCAGATATCACGAATCGTTCCTGAAAGTAAAACATCTGTTGTACTGCCTTCCCCAAAGCCAGAGCAGGGTCTGTGACCTCACGCAGCTTCTACAGGAAATGGAGGCCTTAGTCACCTTCAAGCCCGTGTCCCCACAGTGCAGGTTCTACCTTAATTCCAACACACTTCTGTTACCCCCTCCAGACCTCGAGGAAGGGTTTGGATGAATCCTTTGCAGGTTGCTTCCCAGGGCTCCCTGAGCGGGTCCAGATACCAGGTGAGGAGAGAGGTGTGATTCGATGAACACTTGGTCTAAAAGGCTCAGCAGGGGAGTTGGCGACGTCAGGCTTCTCCTGATGGAGAGGGACAGAGAAAGGAAGAGGTACCCAGAGAGCACTACACGCCACCGTTTTGAAACTCTATGTTTGTATTCTTTTTCTGTAACTATGACAGAAATGTGCTATTTTTCCAGCGTGCAATTTTGAGTACGTTCATTTAGACTCCCCCAGGGCAGAGGCGAGGAAGGAAGGGAGCGATTTCTCTGCACAGTCAAGGACCGCTGTGGGCTGCCGCAGGGGTTGACAGGAGTGGGGCTTCCCGCCCCCGAGTTCTCTGCACATCAGAGGAGGCTTCTCCCCACTCCTCACACTAATACTGATCCAGAAACCAGAGCCGGGTTCCGCCAGAAAACCTCGCTGCCCACTGAAGCAGGGAGTGCCCAGCGGGGACCTGGGCCTCGTGCTTGCTGGGTCTCTCCTTTTCAACCTGTGAAGTGGAGGGCGCGTAGCAAGACGGTGCCCAAGGCACCTTCTGGCCTAGCACCACCAGTGAGCACTTTGCCAGGGGTGTCCGTGTTTCACAGGATGGCAGGTGGCCACCGCTCTGCCTTGGGGAAGCGGAGTTGCTAGACGTGTGACTTACAGTGACGTCTTTTGAGATTTGGCGCTCCTGTGTTGCTGAGTGTGAGTCTCTCAGGGACTGAAGTTTTAAGCCCAAGTAGGAGTTGCTTGGTTTCACCTGGTTTCCGATCCTCTGTTAGTCACTACGTGTGCCATCTCTGGACACCCTCCAAGCCTGGTGTTTTTGTGGGCAGTTGTTCATCTCAAGGTGTTCCTTTTCTTGGTCAGCCTGGGCCTGCAGTACCTACCCCTCCTTCATCGGTTTGGCCCCAAACAAATTTTGGTCTTAAGTCAGGTGGAATTAGAGGGATAATTCAACAGCAAAAGAAATAGGCTTCGCATTCCATTTGCAGAGAGAGCGCGCCTGCGGCGGTGCATAGCCCTCTGCCTGGTGGTTCTCTCTCCCTGCGGGTTCCCTGGGGCTGCGTGCGGCCGCTGCAGCCGCTAGAGGGCGCTGCAGAAATGCTGAGGGGCCTCGGGGGCTCAGCAGAGGCCTGTGGACCTGACCCCCTGAGTCTGTGAGGTTCTCCACTTACCAAAGGTCTGTTTCTGGAGGATTCTTCTGTGACTTTGGTAGCTAAAAAAAAAAAAAATTAACCAGCATGGAAGGGTGCAAAAGAAATAGAAACATCACTTCTTCCCCTACAGCATTCCTCACCACCTCCCACCAAAGACCTGGGGACCCCATGATTCACAGAGGGTATCAAAAGGTTGGGGAACTCTCTAGAAGTGTAGGCAAAGTTTAATGTACTGGCTGATGTGCATTTTTCCATCATGAGTGTCTAGACCAGCACTGTCTAATAGAAATGTAATGCAAGTAAAAAAAGTCAACACGTAAAAATAATTCAGTTACCTGTTTTTTTAGTCCAATATTATTGTTTCAACATGTAATTCATGCGAAAGTGTGAATGAAGTGCTTTGCATCCTTGTTTGTACTTGGCCCTCTGAAACCATTACACTCCCAGGCCTCTCCACCCGGGCGAGCTCCCGATTGGACAGTGCCGGTCTCCAGCTTCCCCAGTCTTCTCCCTGGGTTCCCTGGCCCTTACAAAGAAAACAGGTTAAAACCTAATTACCTGCCCGGAGGACTCGACTCCACCCAAGCGGCCTACCTAGAGGCTCACAGGAGCGTTTGTTTTGTAACCACCCTTGCTGGGATTTCTGCTTAAACTTCCCAACCACACCCTGAGCCCCATTAGCATTTACTGCTATTTCTCCGGCCAGTTAGTTTTCAGAAAGTCACACAAACCACATCGATTTGGTGCTCAAACGAGAGCCTGCCCCCCCTTCCTCCAGCAAATCCTTAGGCCGATCCGAAGCAGAAGAGAATTCCAGACTGTAGTCCTGCAAGGTGACCTTGACCCCTAGCAGTCCTTCCTGCTTGGTGGGAGGTCTTTTCCCAGGCCTGGGGCCCCCTGGGGCCTTAGAAGGGAAAAGTAGGAAGTTCCTATTGACTCCAAATACCAGACTTTGTGTGGCCGTACTGAGAAAAAGTCTTTGGGGCTGGAGACTGTCCAGACACTCCTGGGTGAACTCTAACTGCCTGGCAACAGCCCAACTTCTCGATTGAAATCAGCATCCCGGCCCCCCAACCCTGAGGCCGTGGACTAGAACCAGAGCATTTTCAGTCCCTCAGAATAATGTGAAGTCACCTCTAGGTAGTGCGACCCTCTGTGTGGCTGGTCCCTTTGGGAGGAGCTGAGCCCTCCCCAATCAGGAAGACAGCACCTGAACCTTGAGGGGGTCTCCAGGGTTTGTCACCCCAGCAGTGTCAACTGTGCCATCCAGGCAGGAAGAGTGGAGAGTTTGAGAAGGTAGGAGGTGAGTAGTGGCAACAGCGCCTACCTGTTCTGACATCACCTAGTCAGCCTGGCAACCCTGGAGGCAAGTCTCTGTCCTAAGAGGTTTGTTTTGCCCGGTTCCCGGCATTTCCTTCATTCTGGTGGGAACATCTGGGCTCCGGGTTTGGTCACAGGAAGAACCGCGGTGCCTGATGGGCTGTTTGGTTAGTGCCCTGACCTCCCCATGGCTGCCACGCTTTTAGAATCAAAAATGCCGACAGGTAAACTAACATAGAATTCTTTCTTATATTTATGAGTTTTGATTAGATGAAAATTCTTGTCAAGCATACAAAATAAACGGGCTCACCTTGACTGAACACGAAGAAATCTCATTAAATCAAAACCCTTTCACCAAAAGGGTGGGCTGTAGAGTCACACCTCTGTGGAGCGAGGGCCCAGGCGATTTCCGGCAGCGTTTTCACACGCTCTCACTCAGATCTCCACCCTCTGCTGTCTCCAAGCCTGGCTTTCTCTGATCGCCCGTCTCTGCCTTTGGGTGCGCACCCACACCAGTCCTTCTCCCATCTTTCAGGACACGGGGCCTCGGTTCTGTAGGTCTCAGAGTTCCCAGGTGGGCACCGCTGTTAGTGGGGTTGGTGTTTTCCTCTTACGTCATGGCAACCCCTGTACCTGTGCTTCAGATGATCACACCCAGTTTACGCTCATGGCAGAGTCCTCTGTGAAGGAACTAGCCCCGCGTTCCCTTCTCAGATCTAATTGTATTGCAGACCATATACATACAGCTCTTTCCTTTTCTCCTCGCCAGAGAAGTCTCCTAGGGAAAGCTTGGCAAGGAAATACTCCAGAAGACTGTCCAGGTTTATGGTCTTCCACCTCCAGCATGTGCGGGGACCTTCCTAGCTCACTACAGGCCCCGGGGGTAAGATTTCTTAGAAAAATGTGTGGGCTGTGCCGTATGCAATGGCCACTCGTGCTGCCTAACATTGTGGCGTGAGAGATTGTCCCTGTAAGTGATCTGCGAGGCCACTTCTTCCTTAAGACTGAGAAAGACACACAAAGAAACCACCCTCCAAGGGGAGGGACGCATGGTGCCCCGGGCACTGCTCTGAGCCCCAGAGGCCCCTCATCCAGCTATTTCAGGGCCAGGACTGAGGAGCGCATTTGGCGACGGTTGTTAACGGGCTGTGTGAGGGCTTCCTTCCTCCGAGTCGGGACAGAGGATGGCGGGATAGGAACGTGAATGTTCTTCCCCAAGTAAGTGCCACGCCCCAGGTGTGCAGCTGACCTGGTTGTGTGTGTGTGTGCATGTGCCTGTGTTAAGGGGTAAACACTCCTGATTACAGAGAAGGTCTGGATTGCCTAAAACACCTAAACTCACGGTGAGCAGCAGGAATGAGTTTCTCACCACTTACCTCTCCCTTTGTCCCACTTCTCTCCCCCATCGCACAGGGCCAGGCCTGTGGTCACGGGGACAGTTGATTTTAAAGAACCTCGAGTTCTTTAAACCCAACTCAGCTAGGAGCGCCTAGCTGCACTCCTCCACGCTGAGTCTTCGACGGCACTGAATTGTCATCCCAAAACTAGAGGAGAGGGTCCAGATCCCAGAGGGGTGCCCTTCATCACCGAGCCCTCTAATTGCAAAACCTGCCTGTTTTGCCACCTGCCAAGGTCATTCACATCTCTCTGAATCATGCCTCCCTCAAGGGCTTCTTCATCAAGTGGCTTTTGTCAGGAATCTCAGTGACCCAAGACCTTCTCATCTTCGTTACTATGGACGTTGCACTTACCGTGGAGCCATTTGCTCTGTGGCCACCAATCAATATTTGTTGATTTGATAAAGCCGGAATATAGAGATCATCTTAAGAGGTCTGCAGGTCTGAACAGAGCACAGGAGAAAAACCTGTGGAGAAAGTGGCTCAACCTGAGTCACCTGTAGTCACTACCGGGCAGAAAGCCTGTGGTCTTAGCGTCCCTACTGAAGCAGAGGGTGTGGAGAAGCAAGGAAATGTGGGGGTCCTGTGTGCTCTGCAAACCAAAGATGGATGGCCATCTAATGGACACGTGCTTCTTCCACGGACTAGCTGAATTTTCCCCTCATGTCCTCAGAAATAAAAGTGAAGGCGGGTTGCCTGGTTGAAGGGAACTGTGACATTTCAAGAGGGTTTCTCTTTGCAGGCTGGTGACTGACCTTACTAAACCCAGAAATCTAAAAAAATTAAAAAGTCTTATTGCCTTAGTACCTCAGCATCTTTAAAGTCTAGTGGTTACTCCCCTTCTCCCTCAAAAGGTTTAAACACATCTATGTCTTTATTCAACTCAGAATATTATTCTCTTGGAGAATGTGATGATTTTCAATAGCCAAAGAATTTTCGTGTGTGAGAGCTAGCTAATTAATATCCCACTCTTCCGAAGACAATACCAAACCTTTGCCTGTGCCAGTAGGCAGAGCGAGCGCCTGAAGGACTCACTTACTGATCTGTAGGGTGTTGTCGCCAGGGGGCAGGGCGCCCTCTGCTGCACAGTCATTCTTTCAGCCGGTTCATTTAACTACAGAGTCACCATTTCATCAGCTGGTTGTTTGCTTGTCACTATCCAGTCCCCCAGTAGCTGAGAATTTGGTTTATCAGAAGAGGAAGGAATGTCACAAACCCCGAGAAGTCAAAAGAGAGCGCCACCGGAGACCTCGCTGCCAGCAGCCTTTTCTTCTGCACGGAGTTGCCAGGCATTGTTCGCCGTTTGTGGAAAGACGCCTCTGGCCGGAATGTTTGTGCAGAGTCAGAATAAGGCAGAGACCTGACCGTTTCGTAACTTCTCTCGACTGGATCCTGTCAAACAAAGGAAGATGGGTGAACAGACGTCTCGCCTATGAATGTGGATGGTGTGAAATACTGACGTGTTTTCTACATGTCCATAACAGTGTATTTACCCCCTGCTTTCACAGTAGTTATCTGGAATTGTTGTACCATTTTATAATTAGAGATGTGTGGGGTGGGGGAGGGGCGGACAGGCTGTTATTTTTGTAGTGGGATGGTCCTCACATCTAGAAAACTTGAAGTAACTTTGTATTTGTGAAAAGTTACATTCCATTCATTTCCTGAGAAAAAATGGGTCTTGTTCTTGAAAGCAGCCCTGAGCTGGGAGAAGGATCACCCTGTCGTAGGGGACCCTTCCAAGGAGAACACAGGGCCCGCAGACAGGACGTCTGCTTGAGTGCGGTTGGTAGGGCAGTAATCTGGGTGGAATAATTTCTAGTTTTAATTTGACCATTTCACCTAAAATGTCCTATGGTGTGCTTGAGTGTGATATTGTTACGTTGCAGAAGTACATGCTTATGATTTTGTAATGAAAGGGTTTGTAATGAAAAGGGGGCGTGATTTGTGCCACACTTTGTGTGTGTGACTTGGCAGTTCTGTGGGCTGCAGACCGTGACCAGCCATTGCCAGCTCCATAATGTGAAAAGGGAACCCCCCGACATATTTTAACCCCTCTGTATATAGCGTGTGACTTCCACTGAAAAAGACATCTGCTCCAAAAAACGGATTTACCGTTATGATGCAGTGAGACGTGGCACCATTAGTCAGTCTCTGGGAGCTCCCTACTATGGAGAAAAAAAAAATCCAGTGGATGTATTTTCCCTTTCTATCCATGAATTGTGTGATTTTATTGTAAAACACACGATGCCTCGGGTAGAGTTGGACGCAGCTTCCCCGTGAGGCCCTCTGGCCCGCCTGCGGCCTGTGCCCTTGACACTCCACCGTGGAGGTCGTCCCACCCTCTCCACATTCAGGCCGTGGGACTGCGCCTCCTGGTGTGTTTGCCACGTGACTCGAAATCCACAGAGTCATCCCTGATAGCACTTGCCTGGGTAACTTTCAGTTTGGACTTTGGTTAGCTCTTCATTGCTGAAAACTTCGCCATGGATGAAGTAGCCATTTCGCCCAGCCATCATTTTCTAGACGAAGTCACGGGTCTATTGAAATGATTAGTGAGGGCAGTGTCGGTATCTTTTTCCGTGTAAATCTCTTTTCTTCTTCCCCACCCCAAGTACCCACCTTGTTCCTTCCAAAGCACTTTATATCTCGAAATACAAAGAAGTTTTTACGAAGCAGTTTTTAAAGGGATGTGTCTTCTGTGAAGAGACAAGGGCGTTTCTTCTGCTCGATTCTGTTTTCCGTGTGCTGGGGAGTCTAACAGTGCGTCTCATGCTGGGAGTGACGAAGTGTCGCGGATGCGAGTGGACAGCATTCAAACGTACACCACATGGCTATTTTTGTTACTTAGAAGACTGTCATGTAAATAAGTGCCATCGTCTTCTTATGTCTCGGTCTGAAAAAACTGCACCTCTGATGATTTGGAAAAGATTGTGAATTCCAGGATATTTCACTGCAAAATTTTGTTGGGTTTTGTTTTTTAATAAAACGGAATCAGACACCGGTGTTTGAGTCGTCGTATTTCCTCGCTGCGCTGCCGCACCTGTCTTCCAGAGGGGGCCCTGTGGATTTTAAAACCTTGATATTTAACCCGAAACCCTGGTTATGGGGGGAAAAATGGCAGAGTTGAACAACTTCGTTATTTCTCTCAGGTAAGTCAAGGGCTAGGCACCTGATCTCCTTGTAGCTGTTCTCAGTGGTGATCAAAAGCTTCTGGACAATTCAGAAGGCCGGGCGCTAAGTTAGCTCGAGGGGCTGACAGAGGGGACCGGGCTCTGCTGTCTGAGCCGTCCGGGGCGGGTCTAGGCAGGGGTCCACCACAGAGCCCACCGGAGGGGCTGGGGCGGCCAGGTCCCTTTCAGTATTTACGTGTGTGTCTCTAAAGATTTTCAACAGCAGCTCTTCAAATTAACAAGGGAAGGAAATAAGGAAATGGGAGCTGCCAATGTGGGAAGGAAGGGAAGGACAGGCCCCCTACTTACTGTCACACACTGGGAACTGCCAGGCCCTGCTGTGCCGCCCCTCGAGGTTGCCACACGGCCCCCTTAGGACGGGGGTTCGATCCTCTTAGTGCAGTTCAGGCCTTACCGAAGCTCGAAACCTGCCTTCCGCCTGGCCAGGCGCCCCTGCGGGGGGTGGACGCCACACAGCCTGCTGGCAGAAACTCACACTGTGGCCTCCGGAGCCCTTTCCTACCCAAACAGGGAGCTGCTGTGACGACAGGAAGGAAACGTGTGCCCGGAGGCTTTGCCCTCGGTGCCAGTCCAGGCTCTGTGTGCAGGTTGGAAGGTGTTGTAAAGGGACCGTTAGTGTCAGAATGGTTGTGCCACATGCGGAAGGCATTTAAAGTGGTCCGTGTTTCCAACGTCCTGCTGTTTCTCTGCCCAGACACCCACTGTCTGCGATGAAGCTCACGCCTCGGGCGGGGGCACTAGACACAGCAGAGAGTCCCAAGGTCAACTCGGCTGGAATAAGGCTTTGAGCACAATGCACAGTAGCTATTAAAAACTTCTGACAAGGCGTTTATTCAGTCACCGATCTAACTTTGCATCCCGTGGCTTTTCTAAAGCTGGTTGGTGATGGAACCCTATTTTTTAAGGGTCATCTTTTTCAACACTGCGTTGGATGGGACCACTGGTGTGTAGCATGTTTGTATTCCAACCAGAACGGAGCTGCTACACCTGGTGACACCGTCCCCACCTCACACACCCCACAGGCCGGCCTATTCCTGTCTGGCCCCTGCGCCACCTCCGTCAGGGAGCGGTCAGCCCAGTACCCACTGTCCCGGCACGGAGATGCCCTGTCCAGACACACGCCCCGGGTGCTGCTCTGACATGTCAGAGACGTGTGTGTGTCAGACGGCTGGGCGGCCACCTGGCTTACTGCCATACTTTCTCCCGGGAGGGGAGACCTTGCCCTCCTGGACACTCCGCGCTGGGCTTTTGTGCTGAGAAGTCATGCAGCACATTTACCGTTTGGAGGACGGAAAACAGGAAACTCCCCAGCGCCCTGGAACAGGCCACTGGGCCAGCTTTGCACCCTGTGCTCAGTCGGCTTACGCCTCTCCTCGGGTGCTACGGGCCAACCCACTACCCAGCACGCCCGCTAATGCGTTTGGTCATTTCCACGGATCGTAATTCCCTCTAGGCCTGCGTTCGCATCCCTGCCCCACTCCTTCTCTTGGTTGAGAAACATGTGGCTCCAGACTGGGGAGCTGGTGAGCCCAGGCTGCGAGTTATTTTCGTTCCATGATGATACTACACGGAGAAGAGTGACGGTACCAACCCACGGAAAGTCCAGGTGACGATTCGTGAGGCAGTTCAGAGCAGTCGTTCCATCGCCCTTCCTGATCCAAGCACAGAGAGTTCATGTGCCTCTCACTTCACCACGCCCACTGGTGTGGAGTCTCCCTGGGGCCTCACTGTGATTGCCTGTCTCAGCTGTGAGAAGAGTAAGGGACAGTGACCTCTCCGTCTAAGACCGCCACCCGCTGTGAGGACATCGCCCTCCCTGCTTTGCCGTCACAGCGCCCCTGCACAGGCCGGAGGGCGCCCGGTCCCCAGCGCTCGGACCCTGTACCTGCCGGTACACTGGGAGGTAGGAACGAAACTGCCCAGCCCCTCAGACCCTTCTGTTTTGGAAGACATTCCCGCCCCGTCCCCGTGGGGACATCCAGAAGGTCTGGTCATGGTGGCGGTGACCCCCCTAACCTCGGCACCCCGCCCCCCGCCGTGCCCCCCTTATCTAACACTCCTGCCTCCTTTGTTCTCCAGGATCATTTACTCACCAGGGGAGAAACCAGAGCCAGCTCTCCGGCAGGCCAGCGACTGCCTTTGGTTGCCATGTGAGCTGTATGCACAACACAGCTGTCACTGATATTACGGACCTAGTGAAAGCCGAGGCTCTCAGATCTCTAAGGGGAAAAAAACATAATTCAGAGCTTTGGAAACGGCAGCAGCATCTATAAATACATGTGAGAGCAGAGAAGTCAATCAGAGAAGGAACAGTACAGCGGAGTTGGGCCTGAGAGGGAGATGCCGTCGCTGGGGCCTGGGTCTGATGTGAAACCAGCAGGACTCCCGGGAAGCCCAATGGGACACGGGCTTTCCTGACAACAGGGAAAATGACGCAGTGGTCCGTTCGCCTCTTATCGCTTTCCCTTTCCCTCTTTTTCATCCCCTTTGTTCGAAACACGGAGGAAGAGGAAGGGGAGGGTGTCGACCAGACCAGGCTGAGGGCTGGAACTTGGGTTTCCTGACCGGGTTGCCGGGGCTCTCCGGGCTGCACCCCAACCCTTCCGTACACGGAACAGCCCCAGACTGCTCCGAAGTCTCAGGAAGGGAAGCAAGAAACACCGAAAGCTGGACTTCGTGAGGGTGATGGGAAGATGGTTGTAGAGTCAGGAAAAGCTCCCTGAACACGAACAATTCTGCCCTACAGACAGACCAGGAGGGAGGCGAGCGCGGTGCATAAGAAGGTGCAAACATAGACACACACACCCACAGCCATTCACTCTCACACACACCACACAACCACGCACACAAACACACGCATCCCACAACTGCCACCAGTGCCCACACGGTGACTCCCCAGCGAATGCTGTTTTATTTTAGTTGTGCAAGAAAGCTCATGGCAGTAAGATCCCAATGGGAGTTATTACTTTTAGACTCACTCCTTCTAAATAAAATGGGTTGTTATTTGGTGCTCTCCAAACCCGCTCCCAGACGACGGCCCGCCCTCCTTCTGGCCCCTGCGCTGGAGCAGAGACTCCCTTGGCAGGAACCACAGAGGCGGGGAGGGCGCCTTTATCTTCCATCAGGGTGGGCCTCGATACCAGAGGAACCCCGACTGCAGAACACCCGAAAACCTAGGGATCAAGTGCCCCACTCTCAGGTGAGGAGCTGGGCTGGCAGGAAAGGGAGAGTGCGGCCTTTCAGCCCAAAGGCCCAAGTCCAGGCCGGCACATTAACGGAAGGAATTACACGCTGAGGAGTTGCTGCTGCTGCTGGCTCTGAAGAACACACCCAACAGCGACTTTAAAATAAACACGTGGCGCCACGAGCACTGCTATCGTATTAACATCCGTAATAGTGGCAAATAGCTGAGTGTCAGCGTTGGCGTAAGCATGTAACCAGCGCACCGGGCACGCAGTAAGTGCTCTGTGCGTCATGCCCTATGACCCCCGCCATCCCAGCCGAGCAAAGGACTGTTGTGGCCAGCACTTTATCATTCAGGTAGTAAAGCTTAGGAAGATCACACAGCTAGTAAGTGGCAAAACTGCTGCTCTCGGAGCTAACTCTTCCTGTCTCCTAAAAGCTGCCCTTGACCACCACACTGCACTGCCTTCCCCGTCTGAAAACAGGCTGCCTAGTTTCTCCATCTCTCTAATGTGAGATGGGAGAGGCTGATACTAAAATAAACAAAAGCAACAACAAAGCGACTGTGGAGTGGAGAAGTCTAACAAAGAGTGCCTCAGCCGGGGAAGCAAGCTGACCCCTCAGGCCGTGAGGCGTGCCAGTAGCATGTTCCGCCTCCCAAAAACGTCAGATAAGTCCACGTGGGTGGGGGGGATTCTACTAAATGATTGGCAGTCTCCAGCTGTCCAGATCGTCACCAACAACGTCCCAGAAACCATCTGAGGCCAGAGGAGCCCAAGGAAGATTTAACAAGGAAATGTAACCTGGCTTCCCGGATGAGATCACGGACCGGAGGAAGGATACTGGAAGAAACTAGTGAAATGCAAATAAAGTCTGAAGTTTGGTTAATAGTAGCGTGCAAATGTTGGTTCCTTAATTGTGACAAAGGTACCCTGGTGATGTCAGATGTTAACAATAGGGAAAATCAGGTGAGGGACACGCCACAGCCCTCTCTGCTATCTTTGTAACTTTTCTGTGAAACTAAAACTACTCTAAAATAAGTTTATTGGAAAAGAGAGATGTTCATCAAGTAGAAGAACCCACTGGATTACTAGAAACACAAAAATTGGCTTCAGATGATACTGTGGGATTTTCTTTTCTGAAAATCATAGGAATAGAACTCAGAATCCTGAAGAGGTTATATTTTCTTCTTAAAGTAGGAGACTGCACTGAATTATTTGTCAACATCAATTCCAGATATTTTTAGTGATTTTATGTTTTAAGTAAATATATTGGGATAACACTGGTCCGTGATGTCGTATAAATGGCAGGTGTGCGACTTTGTAACACAGCCGCACACTCCATGGAGTGCTCACCTGTCAACGACTAGTCTCCTTCTGTGACCATACATTTAATTTAACCCCCTTCGCCCTCAGCAAGACTAATAATTTGTGACTTGTGTTAATTGTTGCAATGACTCTCTAGCCCAGAGTAATTGGAAAATGTACCAAATGAGAAGCCAGTCATTTGTAATTGAGTCAGAGTTGTTGCAAAAGTAGTAAGTTTCTTAGCTGTGCACAGCAATTTCGTTTGACGCCAATACACCGAACATTAGAGCGCTTCCCATTGTGTTCCTGTTGACTGTAGTTGAGCTATTTCTGCCAGTAGGGGGCTCCATTGGTTATCAAATGAAAACGATGCCCTGGCAGAGGGAACAAAAAACCTTGAAGTTTACTGGGTAACTTTGAGGAAGAATGAGTATTCAGAAACCTTCTCCAGTCACACTAGTACAGCAGAAAAGGAGGAGTTAGGTAATACCAACCAACGCGGCTGGAGAAGCTTCTGTTTCATAGAAGGGAGCGAGTATACTGGACTGTAGCAGGTAACAGCCCTCGGGCCCACGTGTGACTGAAGCCACGTACCTATCACTCAATGAAAGCAGGTTAGAAATGGCAAGACCAGAAATGCCTTAGCGTCTGCTCGTTGATCGACCACGAATGATTTGTTCCACCGAGCATTTCACAGGGCAGCTCAGGCATATGACTCTTCACCTAAATGCAGCAAAATGAGCAGCCTTCTGACACAGACTCGCTTAAAACCCTGCAGTGCCCTCTGCTTTCTGTTAAGCCCAAGCACCGTACAGAAGGCTGAACTCGATCTCCTTCCTAAATGATCTGGCTGCCCACGCCATCTGCAGGACGATCTCAGGCCACACCCCAGCTCAGTCCCTGAGCTCCACCCCTCAATTCTCCTGGCCGCAGCCTTTTCCTCCTGTGGATCTCAGCTCCACAGCTTTCCCTTGGAGAAATCTTCACCCCCAGGTTAGGGAGCCCCATTAATTGCTTCCAGCGCACCTTGCCGTTCACCTCCCCAGCTCTCCCGGCAGGTCTGCTCCTCCCGCTAACACAGCACTAAACAACGTTTAGCGTTAATAACCTGTGAATGTCGTGGTTACATTGCCATCAAGTCTCTGTCTCAATCACAGGCTCCTTGGCATTAGGGCTCATGTGTTTACTCTCCATGCACCCCAGTGCGCAGCACAGGGCCCAGCTTAGAGCAAGCTTTCCATCCGTATTTGTAGAATAAATGATCAAAGAAACGCCAGCCAGCCATCCGGCTCTCTCCTGTGTTACTTCTTTCATCTAAGAAGGAAAATATTCTCTCACCCAGAAATTAGAGCTAGTAATATTTGGGTTTGATATACCGGACTGTTTGGGAGATTTGGGGAAAATAATGTAAGCAAAGCACTTAAAATACGGAAGATACATAAAAGGTAAGGCGACATAAAACAAAAAGGTTGTCACGTCGGACACTGGTCACCAGAAGAGAGACATCTGCAGGACGCCTGTGTTGAAGGGGAGCAGGTTAGGAGGTCTACACATTCATCTGGGTGAGGCTGGGGACTTGGATGAAAGCAGGGGGCCAGGAAAACTCAGGAGCGAGGCCCGAGAGAGGAAGAGCTGCCAGGGAGAGCGTGCGCGATGCAACACTGTATCGTGCTGGGGTGGGCCCATTCGGATGCGCTTCCCTTGGGCTTCGCTGTGAGCTGCAGCTGTGTCCTCTCTCTGGCCACTGGGAGTCATTGTTGGCTTCTCACATGGTATCAGTCCAGGTGCTACTCGTCTTCAGGAGCTTCCTCACTATCAAGTGTAACAAAGCTTCCAGAATTACCTGATACATTTCCTGCCCCAAACATGGGGCTGGAAACATTTTTAAGGGAGTAGAAGGAAGTATAACGACAGGTTGACACGTTTTATCTTGAAGTGATGGGGAATGTGTGTGATTTTTATGTTCTCTCTCGAGCTCTCTGTTTTCCTTCATGTTAGTGCACATATTTCATTTTAAAGTATAAAAATGAATGCTGACTTATAACTGAAAACCAAAAATCATAAAAACAGGCCTCCCGTGCACGAGGGTTTCACAGACTCTTGGGTCAAGAGCATGATCCTGAATCATTATGTCGCGTCTCCTCCGAGCAGGCCGGCTCCTTACACAGAGCTCCTGCCCGCCGAGTTTGAGATTTTATTTCCGTTCAGATTTATGCACCGGAGACGCAGCACCTTGGGTTTTCCTGAGACGTGATTAATCCTGGTAACAAAGGACCTCCTGTGTCCTGTTTCCTTCACTCCTTTCCGCCTGCGACTCGGAGCCAGGTGAGTCGGAACAAATGAAGGACAACCGAGGCCAGAGAAGAAGCAGAAGTGAGACTCCAGGGGCAGGCAGAGAGGGGACAAGATGAGGAAACAGAGTGGAGACCCTTCCCTCTGAAGTGACGTCTGTGTGGACTGACGTGGCCACAGGAGCGAAGCCTACTTCTGTTTCTCGACATCCCCTGGAGGCGTGAAATTGGTGGCACTTTGCAAGGCCCCCGCCCCTCAAACTGTTAGGGGCGTAGCTGAAGGATTAAGCGCAGTTCAGAGCCCTCAAGCATGAAGAGCACAGGGAGTCACACGGAAGTGAGAACAAAGCCAAACCCAAAGGGGAGGTCAGCCGGGGTCAAGGCCACTTCCTCTATTCACTTCTGTCTCTGCAGGGCCTGGAAAGTGGGTGGCATTAAACTTTCTGAACTGCATGGGGAATGCCACTGTTGCTTCCGGGCATTTCCTCATTCTTTGGGGGGGGGGGGGGGGGGTAAAGGGTAAGGGCTGCGGGTTCGGCTCCAATTCGACTTACAAGTCCCGCTGCAGCCCCAGCAGCCCCCCCCCCCCACACACACACACCCCGCCCCCGCCCCGCCTGCATGGCCTCAGTGTGCAGAGACTGTGGGACCAGACAGGGTGCAAACCAGATGGCTGTGGGAGGGGCCACGGGGCCAAAACAGTGAGTCCGGGAACACGATGCCCACACACCCATCACTGGCCAATTTGGCATTTACTAATCACATCTCATTCTTGACCTTCTGAACAAATTAAATCGAATTCTCTTTTAGGGAACTGATAGCCACAGCTAAGAGCATCACTGGTTTTTCCTGCACCTCTAATCCTTCATGACAGATGTCCCCAGACTGCAAGGCATGGCCTGAAAAGGAAGCCTGGCCTGGATGGACCCCATTCATTCATTCAACAACATCACGCAACGCCAACTATGGGCCAAGCACTGTGCCAGGCTGTGGGAAGGCAGCAGAGGAAAAATAGGTCGAGTTCCACACACGCCCTTGCGGATTCACATTCAAACAGAGGGGAGAGAGACCCCAGAGAGTAAAGATAAGTTATAAATTCACTGGGAGGTAATAGTGATATGGGGAATAAAAAGCGTGGAGAGGGTAAGGGGGAGCGGGAGGGGGTGCTGAGGAGGCGTCGCACCATTGAATAGGGGGCTCAGGGTAAGCCCCGTTGAAGAGGGGAGCAAGCAAGCAAGCACTTGGAGCAGGTGAGAGTGAGAAAGGTAGTAGCCCTCCTGCTGTGAGCGAATACTCTTCGGATATCTCCTCCGGGACCTTCACAAGGTAGCAAAGAAGATGTCATAAAGTCTGGCTTCTTTTCCCAAAAATGAATAGAGAAACCATTCAATCTTGAGAGGAAAATAATTATTGCAATGCAGGCTCTACAAGAGCAAGGATGTCCTTTTCTTTACCACTGGGTGCCTCTGGCCAGACACGCACCAAGTATCCCACCGGCCACTGTTGAGTGAATGACTGAGTGATCACCTGCTGGGTATAAGTGAGGCATCATTCTGGACAGACGATGCCAGAAAGCGGGGGAGCAACGCCCCCAGGAGGCAGTGCTGACTTCTTCAGTTGTCCCCCATCTTCCTGCTCTGCTCAGCAGGAGAAATCGGGGTGCACAGCGTAAAAGTGCAAGTCCCTGGCAGTGGGAAACGGACGCATCTGGGAAAACTTCTCCAGGTGGCCGCGCCTGTCCTGTGTCAGGGGTATCAGCAGCTCTGTTCTGTTTAAATCAATGTATTAACCTTGTTATACAGGACCTGACTTCTGTTCGCCAGAGCCAGGTCCTGCAGGGCACCGGGGATGTGGTATGTGGTGGGAGACAGCCTTAAGATGCTCCACTGGTCCCCACCTCCTGGTAGCTGATGGTCGGGCTTCGTGTACATCTTTGCCCTTGAGTCACTCAGTCTCTCTCTGTCTCCATCCCCCTCCCTCCCCTCCCCCATGGAGGAAGCAAGTTGGCCTGTCATGTGTGGCCCTATGGAGAGGCCTGCCCAGCAAAGAACTGATGTGTCCAGCTAGTAGTCTGCAAAGGCCTGTGGCTGCCACCAGCCAGGTGAGTGAGCTTGGAAGCAGATGTCCCGTAGTTGAGTCTTGAGAGGGGTGCAGCTCCCAACACCTGATCGCAGCCTCTGGGGCCCCTGAGACAGAGGACCCGGCTCAGCTGTGCCTGAATCCCAGAAGCCCGGAAACGGTGAGGGAATAAATGTTTGCTGTTTACAGCCACGAGGGATGTAAGTTGTTCTGGGGCAATAGGTGACTAGACATATGTTCTGCTGTCAGAACAAGATACAGTGAGGTAAGTGGCGTGTGAGTGGTAAGTACAAAGTAGGGGAACGGGGTTCACAGAAGTAAGAAGCAGGTGACTGAGGGTTACAGGACTCAGATGGATGCACCGCTTTACGATGTACTGGGTGCTCCCACTACAGTGCTCTCCTTTGAGCTTTAGACTAACTCTATCTCGGGATGATATTACTTGACTTAATATGAAATGGAAATCGATCCAGTCATTTGGCAAAAATTTGAAGTGTCAAACATGAGCCTGGGTACAAAAAGTGCCTGTATAAGCCATGGTGACTGCCCTCAGAGAATGCAAAATAATGTAGATATACCAACCACACAATAAATAGGTAAATAAAAGACTAGAGTTTGCAGTACAGCATGTCAGACGCCATAGTGGAGGTTTGTACAAGGCACCCCTCACTCAGGGGTGGGGAGGATGAACTCTTCCAAAGAATCCCGTACACAAACACTGATTCTTTTTTCCAGCTTCATTGTGGCATACTGGACAAATAAAAATTCTGTAGCTTTAAGGTATATGATGTGATGCTTTGATATACAGGATGGACAAAAACAGGCGTGCAGCTGAGAGTCTATTCCTGTATTATTACTCATTAGTCACTGTGTTACTTTCCAGATGAACAACTGTGCACCTGCTTCTCTCCTGCCTGCCTAGAGGCACTGTGGAGTCGAGTCACCAAACCCAGCTACTGTCTCACACAACTACCCTGCTTTGTGTGCGGTGGGAACACAAAATCAATCCTCTTAGCAATCTCATGTTTACAGTTCAGGATTGTTAACTTTGTCACCATGCTATGCATTAGACCTCCAGGAGGATGCGTTTGTGTTTATTGCACTATTGGACCGCAGCATAGATGGAGGGAAGAGCATCCCAGGCAAACCCATGCCATGGCCTGGAGCTGGGAACTCTGTGTCGGTGGCAGAGAACTCGGTTCAGTGTGGGTGAAGGAGCTGGCTTTCAGACCCAACTCTCTGGACCGAATGCTACCCGTGCTTTTTCCATGGTGTTATAATGTCCTTTCTAATCCTCCTCCACCTCCTTTCCAGGTTTCTCTCCCTCCACCACGGATGATTTATGGATCAGTGGAGAACAAATCAGGAGCCGGAACTCATGTTTGAGCCTCGTCTCCTGGTCCCCCAGTCTATGGCTGCAATAAAGGCATTTTCCAAATAAACGATGCTGAGAGCATTTACCAACTACAAATCCTCACTAAATTATGAAGAAAGCAAAATCATGTACATTTGGAGAGGAATGATCAAAGGTAAAATATTCAACAGTGTTGACTTATTTCAAGGTAAGGTAAAGATACTAACTCTATACTCAGTTAAGGCAATTGTGTTAATTAACTTCATTTTACATGACAGAATTTCAAGGTGACCCTATGACATTCAAACTCAGACTTCAGAGGGAATTAGGCCCACACACATTTTCTCTGTTCCTCTTTTTAATTCCCTGCTTCTCCCTAGAACCAGAGAGTTCTCAGGCCCACGAGAGCCTCTTAATTACATGTGAGGACCAATAACGACATACGACAAAAAGTAGAGAATTATGTAGAATGACCTGATGAGCTGTAGACCCAGATCCAGCACAAACAAGAGAGGAACTGTCCTCGAGCCGCCACTAAGTCCTGGAGAAGGAGACGTTTGTCAACACACTCTGTTCCAACCGCACTGGCCTGCTGCCTGCTTCTCAGGCAGGCAGTGCTGTCCCCTTGCGTGGAACAGAGCCTGGGACAGACGCTTCTGTCTCACGGTCTTCATAAGAAACTTGAACTTGCTGTGTAACGTATATCTCAGGTACAAATGTAAAGATGTTATTAATATCAGACAAGTGATTAGAAAGCTCCCAGTCCCCCCGTTTCCTACATCTAAATGTGGTTCTCCACAGCTCCAACTTCACGTGAAGGGACCAGTCCCTGTCCAGCAAGTGGGCAGTCGCCTCTGTGTGAAGACAAACCCGGGTCCTGTCTATGAGGCCAAAGCCACGGGAGCCCCCTGCAAGGTCCAGGCCACCAGCTCACTGCGAGGCACACTGTGCACGAACTGGAACCAAATTAGGGAACCGAGCCACCCGCAGTTGGAGAAACAAGTGGTGCTCTAAACAAATGTACATTTTTCACACATTGCCCCTGCTTTTGTGTGTTCGAAACTGAAACAGCACCACTGACACCGAAACAATGTGTGCAGGAAGGTTGTGCCTGGCCTTGCAGAGCGAATGTCTGGAATTATCCTTGGTAACTGCCCAGCTGGTAGGAAAGCCCCCTGCTCAGCCCTGTGCCTTGCTATCAGCCCTTGAGGGGGTCTCCTGTATTGCTGAGATGACGGTGAGCCATTGCTCCAGCAGTGGCGAGGGGGAGCTCATGCCGAGGTCCAGACACCATCCTCGAGCAGGTGCCATGGTCTCAGACATTACCCACCTCAGTCCTGTGTAATTTGCACCTTAAGACAACATGGAAGTCAACTGGGGTTTTGGAAGACAGTTTTGGGAAGAACAAGCAACATCTGTCATTCAATGAGAGCAGAGGTAGCGGTTTTATCCCAGAAAAAGACAAATGAAATAATGGGGCTGCCAATGACATTGTCAAAGGAGAACCATCTGGTTAAAGATGGTGTTGAAGGGAAAAGAAATCAGAGAAGGCAGTGTTGGGGGGGTGACCCACGGAGAGGAGTGGGCCACGGTCACTTTGCCTGGTGTGTTTTGTAAGGTTTTACAGTAGATTTAACAGTTTCGGGTGTGCTATTGCTTTGTCCTTTGCTAGGACAAGGGAGCTGGGCTTCCCCGCGCTGTGCTCAGCTTTCTGAAGGGGAAGACAGGCACAGAGAAGGAAGCCAGTTCATGAACAGGCGAGCCAGCCCCGTGGGACACCAGTGCACGAAGAAAGAGCAAACGCAGAGGAGTTACTAGTTGAAGAGAAGCGGTTAGAAAGCTAGTGCACCGGGCCAACATTGTAGAGGGAATGGCAACTTCTGAGCAACGCACACCAAAATCACAGCCTAAGATTTCACATAGTGTTTTGTCGTCCCACTGGCTGCATTTTGGTCTATTTTCTGAATTATATCAAAGAGAGGAAACCCCACTACTTTTCAAGTTCCACCATTTGGTTGGTAAGGTCTGGATAGAATTACATTCTAGAAATGATGCGTGAGTAACAATGGCAGCACAACCCCCGTGCACACAGGAGGAAGTACAGGTTCAATGCCAGGGCTGGGCTTAGGCAGCTTGTTCTTGAAGAAGATGCTCAAGTCAGTTTCCTCATTCCTAAACATGGTCTATACCTCTGTATAAGATGAAAATAGTTTAAAAGCATTATAAAAATGTACAGTTATCAGTCATAGCTAGAAAGAATGCTTAGAAATTGCTGATGGTGGTCGCTAAGAAGCCCAGGCAGAGTAGATACACACATTAAATAAATACATGTAGCTGACCTTCAGGTGTGATTCCTTCTTAATAAAACCATCTACAAAGTAGAATCTAAAAATACGAAGTTCATCTTCCAACAGCTTCATCTTTGGAGCAATATCTGGGAGAAAAACGTGACGCATCCTTGCAGGCTTCTCTTGAGAGAGCAAATTTACAGCGGAGTGTGCCAGCTTGATTGATGCCTGATGGGACTGTAGCGAATGAAGTCTCCAAGCCTTCAAATCCAACTGGGAAAAGAACAACAAGCAGTCTCTTCAGGGATGTCATGACTTAAGATCTGGCATCAGCCGATGGGCATTTGGGACTCCTGATGCTGGTGATTTGATGGAACACACCTGTCTGACTCATCCCACCCATGTGGTGGGGCCTCCTGCTTCCCTCCCTGAAGCCCCCCTGGGGCAGGGGGAGAAATGCCCAGAGCAACGCTTTGTGCAGCTCTCGGATACTTGCTCTGTCCTCTGCTCCGGCTCTCTTCCACAATTCTGTAGGCAAAGTCCAATGAGGATGCCTCTTCTCTACCACCAGGGTTGCCCAGCGGAGTCACACTGAGCCTGCTCAGATCTGCATTCAAACAGCCCTGCCAACGTGGGGAATGTGCTTTCCTCTGCCGCCCTCTGTTGCCATGATCCCAGGGACGCACCTGCTTCCCCACTGCCCTACAGTGATGTATGTGTGAAAACCAGCCTTTACATTGCCACTCATCATCCTTCCACCCGAGACCCAGCCACGAATCCATGGGAACAGCAGGAGAAGAAACTCTCAGATGGAGCCCAGGCTGGCCCCGCATTCCCACCCCCTTGCTTCTGTCCCTGTTCTTGCCCACATCTTCTGACCAGCTCCGTCAAGGTCTTGTTCCCCCTGGGACTCCACCCACTAATGAAGTTCTGCATCTCACCAGGCAGATTTCACTAAGTGGTAGGTGTAACTATCTTGTCACTGTCTCATCACTCGTGTCCTGCAGCTGGTACATTCGGTTGGCGGCCTAGTGGCAGAGGCTAGGGAACCCGGAGAGTAATGAGCAGGAGAGGAAGTGCCAGCCTAGGTTCCAGCAAAACTGGAATGAGCCCAGTATGGGTGTAAGGTTTCCATCATTTATGGGATTTTCTTTTCCTACTGCCAAAATCTGAACCATGCCCACGAGCCACCGTTCCCTGACATCCTGAAAACTGTCCTTGCACTTACCCAGAGCCAGTTTCACTTCCACCTCTGTCCCTAACCAAAATAGTAAGTTCTGCAAAGCAAAATGCCCAGGCAGGCCCATGCCCAGGGTTAGGACAATGCTCTGAGTGATGTGAGCAAATTCTTCCACGAATTCTTCACCAAAAGATAAACTAAGCTTTGGGAAAAGAGCCCAGGTCGGGAAACATCTCAAAGGCCCTCCGTCCATTCCGTCCTACCCAGGTACCGGAGGGACTCTGCAGTGTGTGGAGCAGAAGCTGCTGTCACCATCCTCTGGACACTTGCCAAACGCTCAGTCATCAGGTCCCTGGGCTGCTGGTTTCCACCAGGAGGGCTCTGCGGGAGCCATCTGCTGCCCAGGAAACGCTGACTCCGCGGCCTGCCAGGAGCACTTGTCACTGTTAAGAAGCCGGGAGGCATCCTCCCCCAGGGAAGAAGCCCCACGATGGGCCCCGGGCGGTTTACACTTTCCCCACTGACCTCGCCTACAGCCACAGGGAGCTCGGAATCAGTCTTGTCTGTTTCCAACGAGACTGAGGGTTTGGTTTGGTTTTTGTGCTGTATTGTTTCCCGTTTAGCATCAACCTGCAGAGCTGTGCCTTTCGGAAGTGAAGAAGTGTTCTCAAAATGAGAAAGAAAAATGAGGATCTGCCAGGAAGGCGGAGTGGGGGCGGTAGGGGAGGAAAGCCAGGAGGGCTGCCCCTCAGTTGTGGGGGAAGCTGAGGCTCTGCGGGGCCCTGGGCGCTCTCTGCCCCAGCCGGCTTCTCTGGCTGGATGCCCAACTGCAAGGGGCCCCCCGAGACCTGCAGGGACAGCAGCAGGCCAGCAGAGGAGCCGCCAGCTGGATCTGGGGGAGCAGAGGGGCTCAGAGTCTCCCGTGACAGCTGTCCCCGGGAGAGGAGCCTATGTCTCACCAGGAGTTTTTCCCATCTGTTCATCTTCCTGTGAAATCCCCGGTCTGGACCTGCATGGCGCCTCTCCCTTCTGACTTTTTCCCATTTAAAGAACTGGCTTTATTTGTTTTCTGATCTCACCGGGGAGTGTCTCCACGAGGCCTGTCCCCTGCAGCCCCTGCGTGAGGTGGTCAGTCCAGCAGGTGGTGAAGCCGCCTGTTTGAGAGGAGCTGCCTTACCTCTCCTCTCTTTGCCCCGTTGTGATGGTTAATGTTATGTGTTAACCTGGCTGGTCCACGATGCTCAGATAGTTGGTCAAGCATCATTCTAGATGTTTCCATGAGAGTGTTTCATTAAAGATTAAAATCTCAACCTGCGGACTTTGAGTAAAGCAGATGACCCTCCATGATGTGGGTGGGCCCATCAGGTCAGCCGAAGGCCTTAACAGAACACAGGCTGACCTCCCCCACACAAGAGGGACTCTGCCAGCTGACTGTCTCTGAATTTGGGCGGCAGCTCTTCCCTGAGGATCAAACCCATAGATTTGGGCCTTACCAAAGCCCCAGAATCATGTGAGCCAATTCCTAAAAATGAATGTCTCCTTTGGTATGTAGATAGCTATAGACATACATACACACAGACATAGAAATATTGGGTTGGCCAAAAAGTCCTTTTGGTTTAAAAGTAAAACGAAAAGACACATTTTTCACTTTCACTGATAACTTTATTGAACAATGTATTCACCGCTTTGTTCCCCTACCTTCTGCCATCTTTCGGGCAACTGAATAATTCCGTCTTCCTGAAACTCTTCACGTTTTTGAGCAAAGAACGCTTTGAGCCCCACCCTCAGGCGTAGAAATGTTCAGCAAGTGTCGGTTATATTATCAACATTATTTGCCTGGAGAGAGGAACCGAGACCTCGAGGAGGAACCCACGGCACCAGGTGGAGAGTCTCAGCTCTCTTCTCATCAAGTGTCCGTGACCTTGCCCATAAGTAGAAGGGTTGAGAGATAATCTCCCCACTTATGCAAATGTTCCTCCACAAACATCCGACTTGTTCTAGGAAGCAGGCGAACACGTCTCCAAATCAGAAAAGACTGGACGCTGGAGCAGGAAACCAGACCCAGAGAAAAGGAAATATACCTTCAAAGGCAAATACACAGTATTGGCGATAATGCAAAATGACTGGTAACCATCTCGATTAAACGGGAGAGAAATCCTGACGAGTGTTTAGGAAACCGGTGGCGGCCCATGGCCATGAATTGCTCAGCGTCCTTTAATTGGAGTCGTGTTTAATGTCACCGATAGTCTATTTAGTTAGTGCGCCCTCCTCTGTTGGAATTTAGAAAACGTGATAATATTTGCACGTTCCCCCAAGGTCAGTTTCTCTGTCCTATTTTTCCCTAAGGCCTTCAGTTACCCAGCCACAGAATTTCTTACTATTTTTAGGCTGTTTCAGGGGAAAAAAAAAGAAAACCTTTAA